GAAATGGTGTCCCTGGCCTCTGTTTGTCAGAGGCTGGAGAGGGATGACAGGAGACAAATCGCTTGATCATTGTCTTTGGTGCACCCTTTCTGGGGCACCTGGTACTGGCCACTGTCGGCAGACAGGATACTGGGCTAGATGGACCTTTGGTCTGACCCAGTACGGCCGTTCTTATGTTATGTTCCGTCTTCCTTAGTATCTAGAGCAAACTGGCCCAGAGACAGAGGAGGGAAAATCCAAAAATTCCTCTGTATGTTTGAAATCCCTATCTGCATTTCTATTGGCCGACTGCTACCTGGCTAGGTACAGTTATCACTTAGTCCCCAGGCTGCTGGCCATCCCTCGTGACCATGACAGTCCCAATGGACAATATGGCAGGAAAGGGGCAGCATGTTCTTTGGTCCTCTGTCTCTGGGATTTCTGCATTGGTCCTGGCATCCATCTTGGAAGGTTGTCACCTTCCCACTATGGGGATTGCTTTGGCTGATTACCTCAGCAGGGACTTTTCCTCTCACCATGAGTAGTTCTACCCAGAAGAGCCTCCATGCTCTTCCTGAGGTGGGAATATCCCCAACTAGATCTGTGTGCCACTAGGTAAAACAGCAAGTGCCATAAGCTTTGCTCTTGGCAGGGACTGCATGAGGGCTCTCTCTTTGATGCCTTCCTCCTGTAATGGGCTGGGGGTCTGATGTATATGTTTCCTCCAGTCCCTCTTGTTATAGAATCATAGAACCATAGAGCTGGAAGAGACCTCAGAAGGTCATGAAGTCCAGCCCCCTGCTGTAGGCAGGACTAGTCCCAACTAAATCAACCCAGCCAGGGCTTTGTCAAGCCGAGACTTAAACACCTCTAGGGATGGAGACTCCACTACCTCCCTAGATAACCATTCCAGTGCTTCACCACTCTCCTAGTGAAAAATTTCTTCCTAATATCCAACCTGGACCTCTCCCACCACAACTTGAGACCATTGCTCCTTGTTCTGCTGTCCGTCACTACTGAGAACAGCCTCTCTCCATCCTCTTTGGATCCTCCCTTCAGGAAGTTGAAGGCTGCTATCAAATCCCCCCTCACTCTTCGCTTCTGCAGACTACACAGACCCAACTCCCTCAGCCTCTCCTCAGCTGAGTCCTGGTGAAGATTAAAAGGGACAGAGAATGGGTTATCAAGATTGCCCCAGCAACCTGGAGGAGCAAACCTGCTTGAAGGAGGGAAGTTCAGCAGATTCTCCTGGGACAAACTTATCTGGCCAAGCGGATGAGGTTTTCCTGCTTTATGTCGGAGCGTGGCATATCTCCTTCACATTCCTCAGTGTAGGCTATCTTGAACTACTTACTGCAGCTCAAGAGCATTCTTCTATAAAGGTTCATTTTGTGGCTATCTCTGCATCCCACCAGCGAATTCAAGGTCAGACATTCCTCTCTCCTAACATGACAGGTTCCTGAGAGCCCTCAAGAGACTCTACCTGCCAGTTACAGGACTCTATTCCACAGTAGGAAATTGACTTGGTCCTCTCTCTGGGCTTGATGACCTGCCTTTTGAGCTGCTGGCCTCTTGCTCCGTTTTCCACTTGTACCGGAGGTCGCTTTTCTGGTGATGTCCAGTGAGATGAGTATTGGAGATGGAGGCCTTGTCCTGGAACTGCTTTGCATGTTTTTTATGAGGATGAGGTCTAGCCTCATCCAGTATTCCTACCAAAGGTGGTGTCATCTTTCCACGTGAACTGGGACATATTCCTGCCTATGTTCTGTCCCAAGCCACATAATGTGGCAAAGGACAGGCATTTTTGCACTTGGAATATATCAGCGCCTTCTGTAAGTCAACACAGCTCTTTGTCACTATGGGCTGAATGGACGAAGGGCCTTTTGGTATCTTCACAGAGGATTTCCAACTGGATCACTGTTATAACCTGGCAAAAGTCCCACTGCTACCAGAATGTCTGAAACCATTCGACCAGAGCTCAGGCATTGTCAGTAGTCTTCCTGGCACTTATCGTGGGACATCTATAGGGCTGCAACGTGACCCTACGTCCATACATTCACATTTCTTTATGACATGACTCAGCAGGCTGGAAGTGACACAGCCGTGAACTCCTACCTGCCTCCATGGCTACTGCTTGAAATCCCTTAGGGTATGTCTAGACTGCATCCCTCTGTCGGCAGAGGGATGCAGATTAGGCAGGTCGACATTGCAAATGAGGCAGGGATTTAAATATCCCGTGCTTAATTTGCATAAAAATGGCTGCCATTTTGCCCACTCAGCACTTTGCCGGCAAAAAGTGGCAGTCTAGAGGGGGATCTGTGGAGAAGAAAGCCTTTTTCCACAGATCCCTTATGCCTCCTGCAAGGAGGTTTACAGGATCTGTCGGAAAAGGCTTTTTCTCAACAAATCCCCTTCTAGACTGCCGCTTTTTGCCAACAAAGTGCTGAGTCAGCAAGAACGGTGGCCTATTTTATGCAAATTAGGCACGGGATATTTAAATGCCTTCCTCATTTGCAATGTCGACCTGCCTAATCTGCATCCCTCTGCCATAGAGGGATATAGTCTAGACATACCCATAATGTGGAATGGACATGAGCAAGCACTCAAAGAAAAGAGTTACTGGTTCCATAACTGGTGTTTTTAGAGATGTGTTGCTCATGTCCATTCCATAACCCGCCCTCCTTTTTCACTGTCAGAGTTTTGGTCAAAAAGAAACTCAAGGTGGGGGGAGCATGCGGTACCCCTTATACTGTGACCTTGAAATTGCCATTCAGGGGTCGCCAGAGCTGCTTCCCCCCAGCAACTGTGCAGGAGAAACTTTTGGCATGGATATGAATATCATATATTGAGAAACATCAGTTACAGAATAGGTAACTGTCTTTTATGATGGTCGTGAAACTTAATTATGACAACTGCCAACAGGATAGTTACAGCTACTCACAGATTATAATTTTAGCAGGAAATCTTTGCATCTTCAATTGTCCTCTTAAAACAGTTGCCAAAACCTCATATCTTGTCATCCACTGTGTAGGTTATGCTTTGTCAATGTAAATCTGTGGCACATTGAAAATATAGGGTCTGAGTAAAATAAACTGAAATTATCAAAAAGACCAATAGTAAATTTCCCAAGTGAGCATTTAAGTCTGGTGTGAGGAACCTTTTTTGGGTTGAGGGCAAATGACCCACAAAAAAATTAATTGGGGACAGCACACAAGTGAGAAACGGGAAAAAAACCCATGCCAATTGAGGAGAAAGACATTCCCCACATTCCCCCCCCACCAGAGCCTGGGGGGCCAGACTAGTAGATTTTGTGCGCTACAGGCCCCAGGAAGGCTCACCAATGCGGGGAGGAGGGGGCGGAAGGAGAAGAACCCTGAGCCTCAGGGGCTATAATCCATGCAAGCTGCATCAGGCCCCCAGGCTTAAGGTACCCCACTCCTGCTTTAAGGATATGCATGAATAATATAATCAGTACAGTATCACCTATAGGGTATGTCTACACTACCACCCTAGTTCGAACTAGGGTGGTAGTGTAGACATACCCTATAGGTGATACTGTACTGATTATATTATTCATGCATATCCTTAAAGCAGGAGTGGGGTACCTTAAGCCTGGGGGCCTGATGCAGCTTGCATGGATTATAGCCCCTGAGGCTCAGGGTTCTTCTCCTTCCGCCCCCTCCTCCCCGCATTGGTGAGCCTTCCTGGGGCCTGTAGCGCACAAAATCTACTAGTCTGGCCCCCCAGGCTCTGGTGGGGGGGGAATGTGGGGAATGTCTTTCTCCTCAATTGGCATGGGTTTTTTTCCCGTTTCTCACTTGTGTGCTGTCCCCAATTAATTTTTTTGTGGGTCATTTGCCCTCAACCCAAAAAAGGTTCCTCACACCAGACTTAAATGCTCACTTGGGAAATTTACTATTGGTCTAATTCTTCTTCCACAGTATCCAGTGCTAAGTGCCCCTCCCCTCCTTCCTTCCCCTCCCCCCCTCAGTTTCCTAGGTACTATGCCAGCCCTCAAATCCCTCTTGACTAATTACGACATGCAATTTTTTTGAAAAGTCTAAAAAATAGGCTTATTTCTTCTCCTGTGGAGGAAATTCCCATCAATGATTTTAAAAAAAAATTAATCACGCACAAAATTATCTCATGCATGTGCACATGCACAGAGTAAAATAGGAAAGAAATATTTTTCTCTATCTTTTAACTAGTGATATTGGATGTTACAAGTAATACATTTAACCCACAATTGTCTGAATTTTGGCTTTGATAAAGGAAAAAATGAATAAGGTAGCGTTATTTTCCCCTTCATATAACAGAAGAACCAGGGGTCACTCAATGAAATTAATAGACAATAGGTTAAACAAACAAAAGAAAGCACTGCTTGTGCAGCCAAACTATGGAACTCTTTGCTGTGGGTATTGTGAAGATCAACAAATAATGAAAGATAAAACCAGCAATTGATGTTAGCTAAGATGATTAGAGATGCAGCCCCATGTTCTGATTGTCCTAAGCCTCTAACTTTCAGAAGTTAGGACTTGATGAGAGGGGACTCACTCGGTTGCCTGTTCTGTTCATTCCCTCTGAAGCATATGGCATTGGTCACTCTTGAAAAACAAGATACTTGGTTAGCTGAGCTATTGGCCTGAAACAGTTTGACCATTCTTATTATGTCCAACTTAAATCCTTTTTTCAATATTACCTGAGACTGCTGCAAAATTTGCTTTCTCTGTATCAGCAAGCCACAGAAAACAGGACTGTCTTGAATATAGTTCATATTCTTGGATGTGAGTATAACAGGGAATTGACTAAGACATGACTGTAGGACAGGTGCTGAAATTCTGTGGTAACAGATGGATTTGGTAAAAGCAAAAATATTGGCATTCAGTCTCAAGGCTTGGTGCATTAATATGTTTTTCTACCAATAGATGCTTTAATGAACATTTCATTTCTTTCTGTTTTTAAATGTATCCTAATGCATCCATTTGTCTGATATGTTGGCTTTTTTGTGTTTTTAAAAATAGATTTCCTCAGACAGCAAAGACTAACCAGACAACTGCTGATGATTCCTGGAAGGATGGGTGTTACTAAGCTAACCCAAAGAAGCTGATAAAACTGGCAGACATCTGTATGACGCTCAACCCCAGCTGGCTGGGCATGAGAACTTTATTTTAAAATATACCTTGCCCCTGACTCATCACATAGGATTGACTTGTATGTTTTCTGCATCTTTTGAGTGCAAATTACTCCTTGCTTTCATTTATTTTGCCAAGAGATTGGCCTCTTAGTAGTAGAAATGGACAATTTTTTCTTTACTGTGTTCCTACTGTACAGAGTATACTACTAAAGTCAGAAAAACATTACATGAAGACTGTTTGACTTTCACCTTTGTATCTCTGGTACAAACTTCTACCTGCAGTGTGTTAATGGAAAAGATGTTGGCTAAAATTCAATATGATTTGTTCATGGGGAAGTGCGCTTGGAAGAGCACGGGTGGTTGTGTTTAAGCCAGCAAGAAATTTCAACCCACTGTGCTTCCTTGCTGCAAAGCAGTGATTTGAAGATTAGATAAATAGTTGTATAGGTGTTAGAAAATGAAGTTTAGGGATTTTTTTAATTCACCTGCTGTAAGTTTTGCCTGAAGCTCAAAGATTTTTTTTAACTTGTTCTTGTATAGAATGTGTTTCTTCTCTTATGCTTTTTATTAATATTTGTTCTAGAAGATGAAACAACTTTTTATAACTCAGTAGTACAGTTAAAAAAGACATTTTGTATTAGTGTGTGTGTGCAGTCACCTAGTGTAAGTTCACAAATGAAGGAGTAGTACACAATATTTGTGTGGGTATATCAGCAGGCAGTCAAACTTAAGTGGGTGCTATTTAAAAACTATCACATTGCAGTATTTGCTGTGTTCCATAGCTTTGGTAGGAAGTACCAAACATTGGTCAACTAAACTACTGCAGGTGACCCTGTTTCTAAACAGTACCACTACTGTATATTGGGGAGAAATTATTGCACTTGAGGTGCTTCTTGCCATAGTCTACTTTACTCATTCCCAGTTGGTAACAATTGCCTTTTACTGGTTTTGTATAAGACATTTTTCTACTGCCTTTTTTTTCTTTCCATACAAAGGAATCTGTTGAAACTGTGTCCCTGTCCTCAGCAAACTATGGAGGCCACTGACCCAATCCTAGTTTCTGAAATATGCTCAGTGATGTTCTTCCAACCATCAGTGTGATTTGATATCGTAATTTAATAAAAAAAAGTTAAGATGCTGAAACTAGATATGCCTTAATTAATTAACTTTGTGGTAGTATTTTTATAAAAATGATTGCGGAGAGGGACAATTTTATAGATCTCAGGGCTCATTTACTTTCAGAAATACTTCAGAGAAACAAATGAATCCTTGTTATTTGTAAGGGAAGAGTTAACAACGGGGGTCTGGAATCATTCTCTACTATCCTTACCATAGGAATCAACTCTAATGGCAGAGTGTGGTGACTGTGGTAAACTGCAGGAGCATATATTCATAGATGATTTTTCGAAGAACTGCTCCTAGGCATTCCAGTGGGTGTGTGCGTGCTGTGTTCATGATAGTAGGAAGCTTTTCCCCTAGCGGTACCCATTGGGCTTGGCTGTGGAGGCCCCTGGAGTGGTGCCTGCATGGTATGGTATATAGAGCCCAGATGACCCTCTATCCCTTCATGTTCTTCTTACCATCCGTGATGGTTGTTGTAGTGCAACTCTAGCTGCTTTTTTCCTGTTTACAGTTAGTTAGCTATTGTTTGGTAAGTAGTAGTTAATTGATAGTACTCATTTTGGGGGTATTCCCCCCACCTTTTGTTCCTTTTGTATTTTTGTTAGTTTTTCTCCCAGGGTGTGCAGTGGGAGTTTAAGAACTTCATTGCTTGTGGCAAGCCTGTGCTCAGAGGTGACCTGCTTATGGCTTGCCTCAGGTGTTTGGGTGAAGAACACAGATAAGTGCAGTATGTGTAGGATTTTCAAGGCCAGGACTAAATGACAGACAGACCAATAATTGAAATTCCTATTTATGGAGTTGGCACTTTGACCCTCAATGCTAGGTGTGGTACTGACATTTTCTGTATGCAGTGTGCTGTCCTAGGTGCATAGTGTGCCAGCTTTGATTTGGGACTCATCACCACTGCATAAAGAGGGGCCTAAGGACCACTGGCACCAGTACCCAATCCATAATGTGAGCTCCTCTGCTCAGCACCACTTGTCTCCTGTGCCACACAAAAAAGCCTCGTCTCTGGCCAGAAAGATGGGTGGTTACCGCATCTGTGTATCCTTTGGCAGCACACCTTCAAGATGGTACTGCACTCCTGACGTTGTCAACGGTGGCCTCGAGGGCAAGGCCATCAAGTCCAGTCTCACTAGTGTGGGATATCCTGGAGTAGGACCTGGACCTTCCTTCCATGCCAGACACTTTCGGGGCCACAAGGAAGTTCATTCAGATGATAGAGCACGCAGCTCCAGTTCCGGCCTCACTGCAAGCACTGGCACCAAGTGTGGGGCATTAAGCAATGCCTACCTTGGCACTGAACCCACCAATAGCACTGTCAATGGCACGGCCTCCTCTCCTAGCACCAACGCTTCCAGCACCAGTTGCACTGCAGCAAGCTGACTCCATTGCAGTGTTGCTGTTCTCTGGCACCATCAGACACTGCACCTCTGTGGTCTGATTCCAAGTATCCATCGGGGTCAGAGACAGAGTCATTTGTTTCTTGCAGTAGGCAGTACCACTCCTGCTCCTGTTCCCAGCACTGCCATTGGGATGCTCCCTTAGCATCACAGGCCATCCTTGCTACCACAATGGCATGCTCCTGTGTAGTGGCCATTCTGAACTCCCTGGGCCTACCATCAAGCTCAGGGCCCAGCATCACAGTTGGCTTCTTGTGACCTCATCTCACAAGCCATATTTGGCCACCATTGTTGCTCCAGATCCTTATAGGGACCTTGAGCCTGTTCCAATGCAAGTGCCACACCTGCTCTGAGTCACCAGTGTCTCACCTGCCCATTATCTCTGGGAACATCAGGAAGCCTGAGGGTCAGGTGGACTCTGTTCCCAGAGCATCCTCTTCCTCTCTCTTGAAGAGATGGTTGCTAAGGCACATCAGGACCTTTTGCAGCAGGTGGCCTTAATATTACTACAGAGGAGGTGGTAGAGGATGTGGACCCCATGGCATTATCCCTGATCAGAACTACGCAGTTCACCACTAAGGTGCTATGGCAAACCCTGGCCTTCCTCCCACCAATTGCTAAGGAAGTTGAGAGGCCCCAGCAGAGGTATGAACATCTGTTTACTCACCTCGCACCAGAATTACTTGTGATTGATGTCACAAGGAGCAGCAGGGCCAGCCAGGACCTGCCCCTAAGAGCCAGTATGCCAAGAAGCTGGACCTCTTTGGCTATAAGGTCTATTCAACTGGGGGGCTTCAGCTTCCTATATTGAACTAACAGGTGCTGTTGAGCCACAATGCATACAATTTCTGGAACACATTGACCTAGTTCCAGGAGCTGCTCTCTGCAGATTTGCACCAGGAATTCATGGCAGTCCCAGAAAAGGGTAAGATGGTGACCCAGACCTCCCTCCACCTGACACTAGACTCAGCTGATTCATCCACTAGATCGATGGCCCCGGCTATCGCTATGCAGTGCATCACATGGCTCCAGGTGTCTGGGCTCCCCTCAGAGACCCAGACTATCATCCAGGACCTCCCTTTTGACTGTACAGGTCTGTTCTTGGACAAAACAGATGCCAAACCACACAATCTCAAGAACTCCTAAGCAACCCTCAAGTCACTCAGCATACACGTGCCAGCACCTCAGCACAAACCGTTTAGGCAGCAACACCCTTGTGCTTTTTTCCTGGGTCCTACCCACCAGGACCACTCCCACAGGTGGGGCAGGAATAACCACCACAAGCTGCCTTCACACTCTTCCTCAGGCCAGGGCCAAGGCCACTCCAAGCTACCCTATGGGCCCAAAACACAACTTTTGAGGGTGTGCCAAGAATAGAACACCAGTTTAGTTCCTGGATCTCTTCCCTCTTCCTTCTCCCCCGCCCCTCATTTGGCAATCATGTATCCCACTCCTACCGTGTCAGTATTCATAGAATCATAGAACCATAGAGCTGGAAGAGACCTCAGGAGGTCATCAAGTCCAGCCCCCTGCTCTAGGCAGGACCAGTCCCAACTAAATCAACCCGGCCAGGACTTTGTCAAGCCGAGACTTAAACACCTCTAGGGATGGAGACTCCACTACTTCCCTAGGTAACCCATTCCAGTGCTTCACTGCCCTCCTAGTGAAATAGTTTTTCCTAATATCCAACCTGGACCTCTCCCACCTCAACTTGAGACCATTGCTCCTTGTTCTGCCATCTGTCACTACTGAGAACAGCCTCTCTCCATCCTCTTTGGAACCTCCCTTCAGGAAGTTGAAGGCTGCTATCAAATCCCCCCTCATTCTTCGCTTCTGCAGGCTAAACAGACCCAACTCCATTAGCCTCTCCTCATAAGTCATGTGCTCCAGCCCCCTAATCATTTTGGTTGCCCTCCGCTGGACTCTCTCCAGTGCGTCCACATCCTTTCTGTAGTGGGGGGCCCGGAACTGGACACAGTACTCCAGATGTGGCCTCACCAAAGCCAAATCAAGGGGAATAAGGACACCTCTGGATCTACTGGCAATGCTCCTCTTACTGCAACCTAATATGCCATTAGCCTTCTTGGCTACAAGGGCACACTGTTGATTGATATCCAGCTTCTCATCCACTGTAACCCTCAAATCCTTTTCTGCAGAACTACTACTTAGCTGGTTGGTCCCCAGCTTGTAACTATGCTTGGGATTCTTCCGTCCCAAGTGCAGGACTCTGTTCTTGTCCTTGTTGAACCTCATCAGATTTCTTGTGGCCCAATCCTTCAATTTGTCTAAGTCACTCTGGACCCTATCTCTGCCCTCAAGCATATCTACCTCTCCCCCCAGCTTAGTGTCATCCGCAAACTTGCTGAGGGTGCAATCCATCCCCTCAGCCAGGTCATTAATAAAGATATTGAACAAAACCGGTCCTAGAACCGAACCTTGGGGCACTCTGCTAGAAATCAACTGCCATCCTGACATCGAGCCATTGATCACTACCTGATTGGCCCGGCCTTCTAGCCATCTTTCTATCCATCTTACCGTCCATTTATCCAATCCACAGTCCCTTAACTTGCTGGCAAGAATATTGTGGGAAACCGTATCAAAAGCCTTGCTAAAGTCACATCCACTGACTTCCCCACGTTCACAGAGCCAGTTACCTCATCATAGAAACTAATCAGATTGGTCAGGCACGACTTGCCCTTTGTGAATCCATGCTGACTTTTCCTAATCACTTTCCCCTCTTCCAAGTGCTTCAAAATGGATTCCTTAAGGATTCCTTTCATGATTTTTCCAGGAACCGAGGTAAGACTGACCGGTCTATAGTTCCCTGGATCGTCCTTCTTCCCTTTTTTGAAGATGGGCACTACATTTGCCTTTTTCCAGTCATCCGGGATTTCTCCC